AACAGAAATGCCATAGACTTTACAGACTCAGAAAGAGAGAATTTAGTGAACATATACACAAACATATACTTGTATAAACATTTGAAAAATAAAGTAGGTTTCAACATCAAAGTGCATAGTTTAGAATAACACCATACTTTATGCCCAAGGTATGCCACTTAGCAATTGCAAGACCTTGCACAAACAGCACCCCAAAATACTTGTCTACATGGGGAAAATGCCTTCTGGGTTATGTATGTCACATATACTCAAGACATATTGCAAAGGAAAATTTCTCCAGTTCAAGAAGAAGAGAAACTAAGGAGATAAGTTTCCTGACCTTTTGGCACGCTGACAAATAAAGGGAGTAAAGATCCTAGAACAATTCAGCTGGTCATAAAATTAGCTGTGAAACAACAAGGACCAACGAAGTAGTGCAACTACTCTTGTACACCTTTACATAAGGCAGACATAAATGTAGTCTTGGATTGACTGACATGGTACAATACCCTGTATCCAACTTCAGTGTATTTAGATTTGTGGTTTAATCCAGGCAGTTTTTCTACTAGCTGGCACAAGGAAGACTATTTATACAGATGAGTTTTACGTTATTGCCTTGTATTACTGATGACTGAAAAGGTTCCAAGATGCCTGTAACAGTTTCTGAATACGCTACACTTTCCAGCTGCGTGTGTGTGTGTGTGTGTGAGTGCGCACACGTGTGCTTATGTGTTTGTATGTGTAATGTTGGGGATCAAACTTGGGGTCTAACTTTACTAGGCTACTGTCCAGTACTCTAATTCTATAGCTGGGACAGCAGTGCTCATTTTAAGGTATAAATAAATATTTTTGTTTGTTTGTTTCTGAGGTTGTAATTTAATTACAACATTTCTCCTTTCCTTTCCTCTCTCCAAACCCTCCCATATACTTATCCTTGCTCTACTTCAATTTCATGGCCTCTTTTTTCATTAATTGCAATTGCATACATATATGTATTTGTATCACTCTAGATTCATTACCTATTACCTTTTACTTTCAAAAACAGTGTGTCTAAATATAGTGTACTCAATGGAATTATATACCATCACTAATTTCAATTTTAAGTGATTTTATTATTAAATCAACATCAGCAATTCAATTTTTTATCATGTTGAGGATTCCATTGTTTAAAAATATCTTTTATGCAAGACAATTTTTAAAGTGAATTAATTCAGTGGTTTTAAAAAATAATTTTATGCAACATTTCATATCATCTTTTATGATTAAAACACTGTATTTCTTAAAGATTTATTGATGTTTTATTTTATGTGTGTTTTGCCTACATGTATACATGTGTACTTTGCAATTGTCTGGTATCGATAAAAATCAAAAGAAGTTACTGAATAACTTGGAAATGGACTTATGGACTGTTGACCACCATGTTGGTACTTGAAACCAAATCTGGGTCCTCTACATGAACAGAAATGCCCTTAACCGCTTAACCACTGAGCCATCTCTGCAGCTCAAGACTTTATTTTAAGAAAATACTTAATACAAATATAAGCATACATCACTCAGTCTGACTTCACTATGGTTCATGGAAAATATACAACACACACACATACCACAATGGGCCAGGATACCAGAGACCTGGATCTTCATTATGTCTCCACTAAGAATTCATTATGGTACCTTTCTAATGGATGAATTAATGATCATGGAGTCAAATGGATAGACACATGGGTAATGACGGTGACATTGGAGTCCTAGATGTATGGTCCATAGGCAAGTCAACTACTTTCAGCCTCCAATGTTTCAATTTTAAAATGGAAAAAAATATTAGAAGCTGTTTTCAAGAAAAGTTAAATGGTTTAAAAAACGATAAACTACTTAAGATTAGAGAAAATGCACAATGTTTGGTACTAGTGTTGGCAGAGTACTTTACATCTCTGGGCCTCAGACTCTTGACATGTAAGATGAGAGAACAGGCTTATCACTAGGAAGTTCAAATTTTACAACTCTAAGGAAAAAGAAAACAATCTGTTTTTTCTACATATAAGAACCATACGATGAACCTTAAAGCACAAATGACACATTCATCTTTGATCTTTTAAGCTATGTAAAATAAAAAGCATTTTCAACCCTAAGCCCTATATTTTATTCAAAGTTGCCTAACTGAATCATTCTGTCTACTGGCATGCAAATAAATGTCTAATGGAATAATATTAATTACTATAGTTGTTGTCTATAAACTAAAACTGTTTTGAAAGAACTTGCATAATATATGTAATAGGAGAAAAGATCAAGGAGAAAGGAAATTCCCTAATAATAAACAACATTCATAGTTCACTTATAAAAACATATCATAATGATTTTTAAAAGTTTAAATTATAATAACAATTGTAATATCCTTCTGAATTGTTTCTAAGCTATATTCTCAAACCACAAATACTCAAAACATTAGAATGGTGCCTCAAAAGACAGGAATTGAAAAAAGAAAACCGTTAAAAACAAAAACAAACAAAAAACCTCTATACTAAACTATGACTACACTGTCATTCAAGCAAAAGTACTGCTCTCTGGAACAATGAAGGTTTAATCCCAAGAGATATAACATGCATATACAACTGTGATGACCATCATGGTGTTCAACTATCAAATAGAAACTATCAAGGGTAGTCAATTTAATAAAGCAATTAAAAGTACAAGCAATAAACAGTGATTAATAATAGATTTCAAGAAAGGATGCATGATACAATGTGATCAGAAAGAAGCAGAGAGATGGAATATCTTTAACTAGTGTCTTTTCAATGAAAAGAATTGCAAACTAAACTACTTCTGAGGCAATGTTCCTTTGGTCGTGTTTCTGAGGACATGGCATATTTGAAAAGCACTCATGCAGCAGGTATCTCTATTATTCTTTTGCTGTGACTCACAGTCAGGCTTGTTTAGTCACCAGAGGAGTCCTTGCCTGACTAATGATGACTAAAATGCTACGTGTGTACAGTTCTGTACAAAGTAATATTACTTAACTCCCCAGGGGATTGTTTTCTAAGGAAAAAAAGACGTTAAATGTCTATAGCTGTTTTCGTTAGTCAGCTAGTGTGTGGGAAGATGGTAAAGAACTGGCTGATCTGTTCCCAACCCCTAAAGATATAAAGTGCAGTTAAAGAGTACATAATAACACACACACACACACACACACACACACACACACACATATATATATATATATATATATATATAGAGAGAGAGAGAGAGAGAGAGAGAGAGAGAGAGAGAGAGAGACTGCACAGTGACACAGTAGACAGCAGGGTAAAAGAAAGTAATAAATAAAAGAACAGATACGAAAATTTTTAGGAAAGGTGATCTATATAGTCACACTTGAAAGGTGTTTACAGAAGGTGTTTTGACTACAGCTTCAAAGATGGACAATATTTAAATTATGTAGAATAAAAGGTAAGCTAGGTAAAGGGGGTGACAATGGTGTGAGAAGCAAAATTAAAGAAGCAATTGTTCAAGCAAAATTGTTCAAGAAACATTAAGAGATATATAGTGAAGAATAAAGTAAAATAAGTGCTGCCATTCCAAAGGGCTAGATTTTTGCCATTTATGTGGAGTCTGAATTGGAATAACAGATAAGAAGAAGCAGAGAATATTCTTGATAGAGGAAATAATATTGAAGTAGTATTCACAGACAAGCAGTCTTGTTGGGAGAATCAAGTATTTGGAGCAAAGCTGCACACTGGTTAGGAAGCTCCTTCAGTTATTAGAGGAGTAGAGAGAAGAGATGAAACCAAGGAGTAAGCGAGGAATGGTCATGAGATGACAGTTGAAGGAAAATTTGCCAGCAAACTCTTCATTTTAAAAACTGGAGAAAAATGCAGATTTCCCTGTAAAATGGGAACAAATAATGAGATCCTGGTGGGGGACTAATAACCCTACTTTACAATCTTTCACCAAAGACAGATGGGCAGATTGTTCCTCAAAACAGCTGACTGACATAGCCCTTCCCAATGAAGGAAGGAGAGACAAAGTCTCTTAAAATAACATTTGACTTAGATATTTCTAGCAGAAACATACAGAAAAAAGAGAGAAGGAAAGGATCTGAGATGAAGGCTAAAGATTTATGAGATGGAGCTATGATGAAGAAAAGACAGGTGGGTAAAATGTATTTCTTTGAATCTCCTAAGCGTATGCGCAAAATTACTGAATGTCAAATCAAACCAAATCAAAACACTTTTAAGGTTGAGAGTTGAAATTCTTTGAAAAATTGGTGTGCCCCCCAACACAAACAGTTTCTTATCTGAGAACTTTAGTCTACAAAATCTTCAGGTTCCTTCCTTTACATAGAACCTAAGTTTCTGGAAATTAAATATTTTGCTCTCTCAAATTTATCAGGTTCATTTTGGTGCTGAGTACACTCAGTAGGCCAGATGCAAAGACCAATGGCAGATCCTCGCACTTCAAAGTGCACCTGAAACATCTCAAGGCCAAATCCCTAACCTTTCCCTTGTTCAGTTCTGACAGAGCTCAGCCCCACCCCCTCCAGCTAAAGGGAAAAAAGGCGCCTGCGCAATCTCCTTGCCCATTCTCCCTGCAGTGAACCGCCCCCTCCCTCTAATCAGAGTGCTTATGCGCAGGCGCAGCGTCCTCGGTGCGTTTGAGTGGGGATATGAGAAATCTACTGTCCAGTGAAATCTAGAAGTGGTAGAATTCAATCTTGTCCTTTCTTCAGAAGCAGAGGCACCAGTTTCTCTTACTATCGGGCCAATAGTATGTCCCAGCCATCGCCCTCTTTTAAAGCAAGGTCCTGCACTGTGTGGCAATACCCACAGTATCCTCATCCTCAGCTCCTTTCTAATTCCACGCACTTGCTGGGCTTTGCTGGGAGGGTAGAGGCAGTTGGCTTCCAAGAAGCCGCACCAATTTATTGGCTGTTTCTTTAGGCCACAGACCCAAGGGCCCCCTACTGGGTACATTATCCCAGTGTCTTGAAAGTCCTCCTTTGCCCTTCACAGTCACCCAGCTTAGGCGCTTACCTCGGGCGTGGTGCGGTCACGGAAGAGTTCAGAGGATCCAAGATGAAACCAGGGCCAGAGCAGACGGATTCCGCGAGATTTTTCCTGGGTCTCCACTGCCGCCTCAGACAATGAAATCAGCGTGTCCGATCATCAATTCTCATCATGATCGTGACGTCACCAAAGACAGCGGCCAATGGGAGCCCGAGATCAGCTCCGGACAGTCCCTGGCCTCAGACCAGAACCCAAAAGTGGGGAAGAGGGGGGATGGGGAGGGCTTCCTGTAGTGGGGCTGCCTCTTCTCGGCACTTATCTGCTTGATCTATGTAGAGGCCTCTCAGTACTTCTCTCCATGGATAGCTGTGAACATCCAGCATCCCTGTGCCAATAGTAGTTTCATGACAATCATTTGAGTCAAGTGATGACTGGTCTTGAAACTTGAGATTTGCTTTGAGCAAAATTGTTCCCCATTACCAAAACTAAATGATAGCATAAGGATTTAACTGATAGGTATATAAACAATGTAATCAAAATCAATAAGGTCTCCAAGGACCCTTTGGAATTTTTCCAATACGAATAAGTGTACTCATTTGTGACTGACGGTAATGACTAAGGCAAGAAATGGAATCCCTTCACTTCATTTTTAAGTTATTTTGACAGAAAAACTTATTTGAGTGATCACTGTTACAGGGATAAGCAAAAAAAAAATCAAGACTTGTAGTATATATCAGCAACACTTACTTGAAGCATTACCCAAATTTTCTGCATGTCATGAGAGATAGAATTTATTGGTTATTTGCTGTTATGTAATTTGCAACATCATTTGGAAGAATTAGGATGTAATAAATATTGACAATAATAAAATAAAATACATGATCATATGTTCTGTCATTAAACTAAAGACCCGATCTACATTGTTTTATGAATGAAGGCATCAGAAGGTTGGGGAAGAATTGTATGTTAATATTTTAATTTGACTGTTGGTTAAGAGAAGATATAAGCAACTGTCTTAAAGGGGGAAATGAATAGGCAAGAGTAGAAAAGTATTATATGAAACCACCTTGACTAACTCAGAGTTTAAGCTGAGAATAGTGTGAGGTTGGATAGGCTGATAATAAAAAACCTTTGAAAATAGACAGAAAGCTTTGATTCAGTTAAAAGCCACCAAAAGCTATGGTTCAAGGGACCTCAATCTCTTTAATCAAGGATTTGCAAAATGCTTTGACTTTTTTAATCAAACACCCAACTCTAGATTTCCCAATGTCTTCCATTCTCGTATACTATAAAATGAAATTATTATCAACCGTAAAGGAATGTGTTTGTAGCATTTTACCATATTGGAGCAGACTTGCATATTTCCTTCAGGTAGCACATTGAATATTATTGCTATTGAAAAGGAAATATATCAGTTGGTAAGGTTTATTAATATTTGTTTGAATTCTAAAGTGATTTTCAACAAGATGGAGAGCTGTGGACAGTTTTGATAATCTGACAAATATACTTTCTCCAGATACATGTACCATGGGAATTGAATAGTGTCCGTTACAGAAAGGAAGACGCTAAAGATTTCCTATAAACTTTCTAGAGTGAGTAGATTCTAATGGAATAATTCTCATGTTAAATGACTTGAGATTTTATACATAGTGAATTATTTAGTCATAAGACTGTTGTTGGCACATAGAAATTGTCTGGGAAGAAACTGCTTACTTATTAAGTACTCTGAAGTGTAGGGCATCTCAGAAGACTTAAATAATCTTCTTTAATCCACACCAACATATAAGACAAATGTTTGTAATTTGTCCTGGCAGACCATCTATCCATAAAGGAACTAAATCTCAAGTATTTGAGGGGACCAGTAGTTCTCATTTCAAAATAAAAGAATTTTAGTTGATATACTTTTGTCAAAGATAAAAATATATCTAAAGAAGAATCCAAACTGATACTTTGTCATTCAAATGGATAGCAAAGAAAATAACAAGATGCTACAGTGATGGCTCTGTGATTAAAAGTGCTGGCCTTCTTTTCCTTAAGATAAAATTTTGAGTCCCATCACCCACACAATGACTTACAAATGTCTGTTATTCTGGTTCCAGGGGATATGAGGCCGGCCCTTCTCTGTGGGCACCAGACACACACACATGGTATACAGATACACGTGCAGACAAAACACCCACACATATAAAATAAATTAAATATGAAAACCAGAAGATCAAAAAGCAAATTGTGCTAAACTGTATGTAGAATTCAGACAAGGTTGGAGACAGAAAAGAAACATATAAATAAGTTTTTATCCAGTTCTGAGAGGATCAAACACAGGGCCCTCCTCATGTTAGACAAGTGCCCTATCAGCTATCTACACAACTAGTTTTTCTTTTGAGATAGGTTCTCTCAATGTATCCCAGGCTGCCCTTAAACTCTCAGTTCTTCTGCCTACACCTCCCAAATGATATGATTAGAAGCATCTTAACCAGTTAAAATAAATGTCCTGAGTCATTCACACTTTTGAATGGGACAAAAATATGTGTTGAAGTACAAACCATCACATCCATCACATCTTTTGTACTCCTTTTGCATCAATATTTGCAAGTGGGGGAAAGTACAAGAAAGTACAAAGTAAATTAATTATGGATTAATAATATACCAAGTTGTATCTTTCAATCAGATAGAGTTGATGATCATTTAAAAATAACTTTTAACAATCATGTTATTTCCAGCTAACAGTTAGTAATATTCAGGATTGTGAATCAAGAAATGTTCAGGTTGATAGGCTCCAAAGCCACAGAGAAACCCTGTCTCGAAAAACCAAAAAAAAAAAAAAAAGAAATGTTCAGGTTAGGTTACAAGACATAACATCTTAGTTAAAGAGATAAAGGATTGAGTAGTAGACAAATTCCTGAGAGGACAGACAGCATTAGCATCTAGATTTGTAGGAAAAAGTTAGACAGACCCAAAGATTAATCTAAAATGACAGGAATCAGAGACCCAAGAAAATAAATACAGATAAGGTCAGTTTGATATATCAAACATGGAAATGATTAGGAGTCAAGACAAATAAGAAATAGAGAAATAATAGGAAATTTAATAACAGGCTATGGGAAAGGAAAAGGAACTTATTAATTCCAATATGGATCTAACAACTAAGGGAAGTTAATCAGATATAGGCTTCAATTTTACTAATCCCAATGTGGTCAGACTGAGCGAAGGTGGGAGGACATAGCCAGAAACACCTGCCTACAAGGAAAGTCGTGTGGGCAAAAAGGAGAAGCTTGTAGCACTCAGATTTCAACAAGAAAATAAGGAGTGTTTTTAGATGTCTCCTAAGAATTAATAACAAGAATCTTTCTTTCAAACTCGAGCATCATTTTTTTTCCATTAGAGTAAATTTTCTAAATGACATGTAGCAAAATTATCTGGCAATCAAATTTTCAAGAATACATTTTAGAACTTTGTATGACCTTATTGTGCTATCAGTTGCATTACACAGACCATGTGAAAATGTTATATTACCATTTTATAAACTAGCCCCATGTAATTGTTTTAATTATTTTTCTTCAATAAAAACTCCTAGTCACCTTTAGACTATTGATGTGTATTGTGCTGTCTAAATAAACAACCGTTTTTGATCACTTTACTATGGTTCCATTTTATCAACCCAGTATTTTTGGTAGCACAATGAGTAGGAAGGGAATAACAATGAGTTAGTTTAAGCTGTTAGTCAAGATAATCAAACATTTTTCAAGTGATATGATACAAGGGAGCACTCTGTAAGTTTAAGACTTCCAAAATCTCAGTGGTAATAGCATAGATTTCAATTTAGGATGCAGAACTATTGTAATAAGAGGAATTTTAGCCTACCTTTGCTACTGATAGAAACTCTCCATCATTTTTGCCCATTGTAATCAAGGCTTCATACTAAGATCTGCATAACCTTGGAGAAAAGGCAACATCTTCAATTAATGGTGCTCAAAAAAACTGGGTTTCTACTCATAGAAGAGGGAAAACAGATTTTTTTCACTTGATATAAACAAAAGTTAATTCTATATGGATCAAAGACCTCAATGTAAAACCCAAAGCACTGAGACTACTAGAGGAAAAGGTACGCAGTATACTACAAGATAGAGATATAGGACAATAGTTTCTAAATAGTGTTCTAGCTGTGCAGTAAGTAAGGGAAACAACTGACAACTGGGACCTCATGAAATGAAAAACATCTGTTCATCAAAGGAAATTGTCAGCAAAGTGAACAGCAGCCTACAAAATTAAGAAAGGATCATTGATAGTGTCCATCTGACAGAGGATTAATATCTAGAGTGCACAGAGGACTAAAAGATCCAAACATCAAGAATACAAACAACCCAAGACAGATAGTCTCAGAAGGTGAAAAGTAAATAGCTAATTAATATCTATAAATGTTCAACCTCACTAGCCACCAGGGAAATGCAAATTAAAACTTCATTGAGATTCTGTCTCACCCCAGTCAGAATGGCTGCTCTCAAGAAAACAAAGGATAACAAAGACCAGCAAGTGTGTGGGGAAAGGCAAACCCTTACTCACTTTGTGGGCTTGTAAAGCATTATAAAACTGGTGTGGTGATTCCTCAAAAAGAAATCTTAAAATAAAACTACATTATGATCCAGACATTACAGTAGCAGCCAAAGAATGTAACACTGCACAAGAGAGATATCGTCATATACATATTCATTGCTCTCTATTTGTAACAGCTAGGAAATGGATTCAGACTTGATGTCCATCAACTAATGAATAGTAATGAAAATGTGGTACATGTACAAAACGGAAATCTATTTAACATTAAATAAAAATAAATTATAAAATTTTCAGATGAATAAGTGGAATGGGATAATATTATACTGGGTGAGGTGATCAAGGCCCAGAGAAACAAACACCACTCATTCATATACATATCCTAACTACAAATTTTTTTGAAAGCTGTGTTTAAGTTGGAATGAGTACTTAGAGATGTCAGGAACCAATAAAAGAAACATAAGAGGTGTGTGTAGGTAAAGGTCTTTGATAGCAGAGTGAAAGGAAATAAAACATATTTAATACATGCATATGATAGGCAGGTGGAGAGGAGGAAATGCTAGGGTTGGTTTAAA